CTTGGGAGAGAATAGAGTTCTAAGGGGGTTTCTGTGTAAACCAAAGTTGTAACTTATTCTTTCATTAGTGAATTTCTCAAGGGGATCACCAAGAGGATGTAGGCAATTGCCGAACCTCTAAAATACTTGTGTCACTTTGTGCTTGGTTGGTTTCTCAAGTGTGTGTGTGTGATTCATCCATCATTGTGTGTGTCACAAAGTCCATCAACAACAAGATCATTAGGGGAGTGAGTGGAAGTGTTATCCATTTTCACCAACACTTTTTGCACTACTGTCACCTATTGCTACAAAGGAAGAGGACTCTGCTCTTGAAATTTTGAGCTTGGGCATATTTGGAGATAACTCCCATTGCTGCTGAAAGTAGCAATGGATGGTTTCAACTTTTTCTGGAAAGAGGACAATGCCATTGTAGGCGTCACACTCAAATCAATATCAAGGGGCAAGCAAAACATCTGGAGAGAAAAAGAGCATGAGCCATACGAGTTTACTATTCCCCCGCAGAAGTTTCTTGAGAAGCTTGAAGGGATGGGAGTATGAAGACTATTTTGGCACAACACAACAACCGCTTCCGTAATCTGTATATAGATATTAAAAGCGTTCCTGCCAAAGCAGAAGCACATTCTTTAAACAGAACACGGCAACCTCACTTGTATTTTTCAGCATGATTCAAAAGATAATTTGGTAAATCATTAAAACAAAGATGAAGCTTAGTAGCACATATAATATCTCAGTGCAAATATCAAGAATTTGTCAAAAGTATCTGGCAGGTTCAGTCGATATTTCTGTTTAAAGAACAAAGAACACTTGGTTACATGATGTCCTTTAAAAACTGAAGTCGTCCCAACCAAAAAAACAGCTAGCTCTACAAGTCCTCTAAAGATTGTAGTAAAGAAAACAAAAGAAAGAAAAATATGGGTAAAAGTTTTCTCAGTACAGAGATGACAAAATATTACAAGGCAAACCAAATGGCAGAATATTAAACATCTGAAACTTGCAACAGAAAGGTAGTGATTTACCATCTTCAGTTGACGTTACCACGACATGAAATGACCTTGTTGCTATCCAGTCCTTTCACAGCTCTTCACCCTGCAGCTCCGGAAGCAAGAGATTCAGTCCCTTCTTTCAACCCTCTCACACTGGACCAGACATCATGCAATGACTGGGTCCAGGAGAAATATGTGCCACCCCCTTTTATCGAGGCCTTAAAAAGAGTAAATAGCAATGGGAGGTTGAGGAATCCCCAGTCAGGATGGGAGACGGTCCTCTTGCAGTGATGTGAATTTGTTGATCTAATCTGGCTTAAATGCACTTCCTGTATTTATTCTATTGGATGAGAAACTAAATACTTACAAATCAATTATAATAAAGGTAATTGTCTCCCACTGCCATGCTTTTAAAATGACTACAAGTAAAAATACTTCTTATAAGAAACAGTAGAAGCTGATAATTGAGTTTTGAATCCTACTTATTTTAAAAATATAAATTAATATAAATCTGACAAAGAATCCTTTGTGCTTCAGACTTAATCAAGCAACCCAAAAATCTCAACTATACATCACTCAAATAGAATTTAGGATTATGAATAATTCAATATATTTCTATTCTTCTCATAAGGAGGTATAGTGATACAAATACAAGCCTATCTAGGAAGTAATTACAATAAGGAAAAAGGAAATAAATACAATTCCGGTCAAACCGGTATTCCTATAATTACAAATCAATTATAATAAAGGAAATCGTTTATAATTCCTATTATGATTCGGCGCAAGCAACGTGTACAGTTTTGTTGTGGTGCTGTTGGAGGTGGCTTGTGGAAGGAAGCGTATTGAGATGGAGGCTGCGGAGGATGAGGTGGTGCTGATTGATTGGGTGAGAGAATTGTATGCAAGAGGGAGGGTACCAACAACCCTGGAATATTACAGTTTAGCACAAACCCCACGCAAAGTACGAACTATTCATCACAATCTCATGGTTGGGCATTGGCAGAAGTGATTCACATCCACAACATCTCTCTTCCCACCATAGTTGACCCAGATCTCGACCTACATCACAGAGAATTTGGAAAGACATTTAAGTCAAGCAAACAAAAGAAAGAAAAATATGGCTAAAAGTTTTCTCAGCAGAGAGATGACAAAATATTACAAGGCAAACCAAGTGAGAAATGAAGTAGTTTCTTTTACTACATATATTTCAAATGTTCTCCATTCAAATTTTGATCGCATGTTTGCAAGCGCCTATTTAGGAAGAGCCTTTTAAGTCTTCCCATTTCCTGGATTTAAAATATATCATAAAGAGAAATAAAGATGGATTTACCATTTGCTCGATAAATCGTTGTCGTCCAGCTTGACGCAATTGTAGATGAAAAAGACCCACCTGGGAAAAATACATTGATGTAAAATCCAACTAAATTGAAGAAAACAAGAATATCTGAAAAATAATAGGCATTCTTATTTCACTGTACCCATTAAAGGTTGATAGTGTTTGAAATTTGAAGTACCTGGGGAGAGTCGGATATAACTCTATGCGAGGAATATGGGATATTTTGGGCCAGTATTGTCCAGAGACAAAATATCCCAGCGGGCGACGTGCGACCCAAAATATCTTTGGGCACCCAGAGATATAAATATGCGAAAGTGAAAGAGTCCGGCCCACTGGAATAGATGCCAGCTTTGGACAATTCTGCAGTCGAAGATATTGAAGAGAGGTGACGAATTGAAAGCCCTTGCTGCTCAGTTTCTTCATATTTGGGAAGCCCCCAATGGAGAGATGAGTGAGAGATTCGGGGAGTAGCATCTCCATATCCATCTCTGTGTCTCCTTCGGGTGGAAACGACACCACATATGGGTCTTCGCCATCGACCCACAACTCTGTAAGAGAGGTGAGCCTGTGCAACGACTCCCACAGCGGCTTACAATTCTTGATTCCGCTGATTCTAACTGATGTTAGGTTGGGGGGAAAGGAGGTGAAATCCAAACCTTCACCGTAATCAATATCCAATTTCTGAAGACAGTTGAGATTGCGGATGTCCGGTAACATCTCCAATTTGTTGCAATTTTCGATTTTGATTTGTCTCAGGCTGGAGGCGGCTGTTGTTGTCGGCGAAGGCAAACCCTCACCACTCAGGCTCGGGATGGAAACCAGACTCCCGCAATCATAAATCTCTAAAGTTTGAAGATTGGTGAGGTAGCATAGGCCCTCCGGTAAGGATTTCAGATTTGGGCAATCAAAGATGCCAATGTGTTCAAGACAATGATTAGTGTTGTCGTGGGAGAACCCATCTGATGTTATTAACTGCAGCTCCCCACAATTGGATATGTCAAGGCATTTAAGCGCCCTGGGAAACAACTGGGCTCTCAATGATAACGACGTTAGAGATTCACATTCCCATATTCCCAAGTGCTCAAGAGAAATATGAGAAGAAGAGGAAGACGAAGAACCATCCTCCTCTCTCTCTACTAATGATTTCAAACTTTTACACCGCCGTATCTCTATTCTTCTTAGATTTGGAGGAATCTGGTATTTTGCAAAATACAGCAACGAATCGCACTCCTTAATGCTTATGAATTCAAGGGAAGGAGGTAGACCCACATCCGGAAAAGAAACCAGACTTGAGCATCCAACTATTTGAAGGTCTTGAAGAGCCGTTATGTGATGCAACCCTTCTGGTACCTTGGAAAGACTTGCACACTTGTATAATTCTAGATATTTAAGCTTGCAAGTCAATATTTGCAATTGCAGCAACTCCTCTGCTTCTTTTCCCAGCTTTTCAAGGAGGGAANTTTTCAAGGAGGGAAGAGTTGCCTTCAATAATCAAACGATCAAGAGAAATCAAGTGTTGCAATACTCTATCCTCATTCTTCAGTGAAGATGTCAGCTCCTCGCATCCGCCAATCGTCAAATTAGCAACCTTCCTTAATCCTTTGGTGAATTCCCCTGTTTGGAACCTCACCTCTGAAATATCTGAATGTCGCAAGGACTCTAATAACTCAAACTCAACGTCACTTGTCTTCACCACCGCTTTGCAACCGTCGATGTCTAATGCACCAATTTGTTTATAGTTGGAAATTGAAATCACCAATTCCTCGCAGTTAATAATTTCAAGTGTTGCTAATGAATCAAGGTTCTCGGGCACCTTACCCTCCAATTGAGGACAATTTCTGATTGAAAGAGACTTCAAGCAAGGGAAAACCTCATCTTGTGCGAAAGGAAGCCAATTCTTCCAGTGTTGCATATCCTCAAACTCAAGATCCTCTAGTACGGGAAAAGGCAAGCTACTCTCTCCATAAAACTCAGGACCAACACTTTCTACTGCAGTCATTCCTGTAATATAAAGCCTTTTGAGTGAAGGCAACTGCCCTAGTGGTGGCAAGTTTTGACATTGCTCACATTTGCCTATGTATACACAAACCATAGAAGAGAATAAACTATCTCCAATCCATGCTGAAAACTTTAGTCCAGCATAACCCCTGATTATGAGAATTTTGAGCATTCTATGAGGTTCTAATCTGTCAAGCACACCTAATTGAGTTTCTTGTGTGTTATCCGACCATTCTAGCACCAATTCATCAAGTCTCTCCTTGCATTTTAAGTTGGCCCTCCGTGCATCCTCAAGATGAGTTTTTCAAGCTTTCTTTGAGGTTCCAATCTGTCAAGCACGCCTAATTGATTTTCTTGTGTGGCACTCGACCATGACCATTGTAGCACCAATTCATCCACTCTCTCCTTGGATTTTAAGTCGGCCTTCCGTGCATCCTCAGCATCGATCACATTCTCCAACCTCGAGAGCGATAATGTCCCTCGGAGATGGGATAGGGATCCTAGCTCTCTTATCCCTGATTCATCACTACCTTTACCCACCACAAAATTAGGCAAAGATTGTAGACTCGTCAACCGACCTAGTTGCGGAGGCATTGCTTTCAGTGAATGTACAACTGAATTGTTGAGATGACGCAGATTCACTAGATTCTTCAAGTTGATAGGTAGTGCCAACAATTTATAACAACCTTGCAATATCAATGTCTGTAAGTTGTAAAGAGTGGTCGTTGATTCAGGCAAACTCATTATATGTGTTCTAGAAAGATCAAGATATCGTAGATACTTCAATTTACCAATTGAATTTGGCAGCTCAGTTACTTTATAGCCATTGAGAGAAAGCACCCGCAAGTATTGCAATTTTGGCAATAAATCAGAAGTAACCTTATGACTTAGAAACCTCGATTCGTAATACTCTGAAAGTGAAAGTGGTAGAAAAGTTCGCAAATGTTTCACTTTAGAAAATGCCTCAAATCTTTTAACCACATCATACTTACCAGAAATGTAGGATGCATGGCGGGCCTTCGTAAAACATCCAAGTTGTACATGATCGCTATTCTGCTTATCCTCCAATCTAAAACAAATATCTCCTGCTGCCCACTGTGCCAAACCAACAACGAGGTCATGCATTACATATTTTGAATTGTTTTTGCTTGATTTCTGAAATAATGACCTCGATAAGAGCTCCTGAAAATAGTCAGTTCCTAAATCTTCCATTTGCTTATTCATAGTCAGTTCTGGTTGTGGTTGAATCAAACCCTCTGCCATCCACAGAAGAATCAATTGCTGCTCACTAAATTCATAGTCATTTGGAAGTATCGAACAATAGGCAAAGCATCTTTTCAAATGTGAAGGAAGATAGTGATAGCTTAATCTTAATACCGGAAGTATGTCACGCTCATTTGATAGACTCCATAATTTGTTGTTCAATATTTCCTCCCATTCATTCATCTCTTTACGAAGTAAAAGGCCGCCAAGAGTCCTAGCAGCCAATGGCAATCCCCTGCATCTTGCAATAATTTTCTCCTTCAGTGACTCGAAATTTGGTGGTATATCTCTGTTAACATTCCTGAATGCATGCTGCTCAAATACTTGAAAACAAACGTCATTTGACATAGGCTCCAAATTATGAACTAGAGTGCCAGCTCCCATCATTTTTGAAACTTCTGCATCACGCGTTGTCACAATTATCTTGCTTCCTGCTGCTCCATCGCGAAAGGGGGACTGCAGTTTCATCCATAGACCATAGCTACATGTGCCCCAAACATCATCCAAAACAATTAAAAACTTCTTCCCAGCTAATTCCTTATGCAGATACTGTTGAACCTGATTGAAGTCTTCTGTAGGATAGTGCCGGGATGTGACTGATTCGAGAATTTGCTTTGTCACTCTTTCTAGGTTGAAGTCATCAGACACGCATACCCAAGCAGTCGGTTTAAATTGCTGGGTTGCATCAATTTCATTGAACACTTGTGCAACAAGTGTTGTCTTTCCGACTCCAGCCATACCAACAATGGCAACTACATCGAAATTGACGGCACCACGCTCTTGTTTTGACAGAAATTCCACGACCCGCCTTTTGTCTTCCTCCCTTCCAATCACAGGTCCATCTGGTTGACTGGAACTGGGTGGTAAATTTTGACGTGCCTTAGTAGACGACGTCGTCCCAGTAATGATATTCAAACTAAGCTGGTCCTTTCGGTGAGATATCTCTTGTAAACGCTCAGTAATCTTCTGTATTTCTGAGTTCATTTTGTAGATGAAAACACCATTAGGAACTGAGTTCCAGACCCTTCTTGCGGTGCTGGCATGATGGCCCCGCATTATCTTCCGTTTGAGCATTTTAGTATCATATTTGTCCAATACGTGTTCCACGTCATAAGCTAAGTCCCTGAGATCATCCAGCCAAAGCTTCAGCTGCATGCTCTCGGTGATTAGTTGCCTCTCCTCTGCGTCATTCAGAACCGCTCTAATTTCAGACAAAGTGTCAATCCATTTCGGCAGCTTTTGGTCGACGCCCTTTATGAGTCCAAAGTACTTGAAGACCTCACGCTGCGCCAACTTGTCGACCAGCACTTGAAGGAATGCCACAAGAAAAGCCTCTCCCATAGTTTCTGAAGAGAAGCGAGCAATCAAAGAAAATGTAAGGAGTTGTTCCTTGAAGGAGCTTGAGCAATATCCAAGTCTTATATATGCACATACGATTAAAATCACAAAAATACCATATGCTCCTTTTTCATTTTATTTAGGGAGATTCACCATTATACCTAATATAGGGGTTCAAGTTATAAAAAAATTATATATGAAATGGATTTAGAAACACACCCAAACCTCATTTATAATATAACAAAGAGACTTTAAACTTCCCATAATTACAAAACTGCCATTGTTTTCTTAACAGAAGCCCAAACCCAAAATCTCGTAAAAAGACTCAAACACTCAATAGGGGCAGCTGTGATTTTTTGAGTTTTTTTTTGAGTTTGTTTATAAAAATGTATGATTTATAAACGCTTCATTTGGGTAAGCATGCATATCCAAATAAAAAAATAAAAAAAATTTCCATACATTGCTTTTCTGTTATGACACCCATGCTGATTTCAATTCCTAAAATAAAATATGAAAAATATAAGGGCAATTCAATTTACATAGGAAGAATTGATCAACATGCTGATTTGTTTTTCACAATTTCTAAGAGCAGTTCTTGAATATCGCTTGTATAAAAGAAAATACATAACAATATGTAACTAAGCAGACCCAAATAATAACTTTGGCAGTGGCTTGGGGCCTTTATATTGCCTTGCCACCGTAACCGTTGATGACAGCAAGCCTTTTTTTATTTAATAAAAATCATAAATCAGTTTTGAAAAAAAGAATAAAAAATTCTTCAAAGTCTCTATTGTTGTATCTTACCAAATAGATGAAGAAAACAGGAAGCCTTATTGCGCAAAACAAATAAAATACAAGAAACAAAAAGAAACAAAAAGCAAAAGGCACCAAACCAAACAGAATAAATCAAAAGTACCTGCAGTTTAAGTATCAGCAGCAGATTTCTTCACGAATTACCAAATACCGAAGGTGTCGCAGTGAACAAGAAGGAAAATTCAAAGGCAATACACAGTTACACACTTTGAGAACAAAAGAGATCAAGAGAGCCAGAACCAAGACATAATATATATGAAGATGGATGAGTGTGGAAGATGGGTTTGAGAATTTTGAGTTAACGGAAAAGACTCTGAAACAAAGACTCTGGTAGATAAGGAAAACGCAATGCAAATTCCCCAGTCTTTACACCAAAGTTACAGAAATTACATAGAAAAAGTAGAATGCTTTTTTATTTTTGTTTTGGTCAAAATTAAACGTAGAAGCTGATAATTGAGTTTTAAATCAATAGAGTGTCTATCTAATGGCCCAGCTCCAGATAATTGAGTTTTAAAACTAAAAGCTCCCAAAAAAGAAAGAGAGAGAGAGAAGAAGGAAAAAATAAATGAAAAGAGAGGGAGAGATGGAAAGTGACGGAAGGAAGAAGAAGATGGGGAAAAAAATAAAAAAATGAAGGTGTTGGGAGAGATGAGATATGGAGAAATTAAAAATTACAAAAGAAAGAAAAAGAAGGGTTGGTTTGGGCGCATCTTCAAATGCACATGCATGCTCTCACATTTTTTTTATTAATATTTATTTAGAGTAACTATGACTAATTATATAGAGGGAAGGGAAAAGGGCCATGGTTATGGTCAAAATTAAACGTAGAAGCTGATAATTGAGTTTTAAATCAATAGAGTGTCTATCTAATGGCCCAGCTCCAGATAATTGAGTTTTAAAACTAAAAGCTCCCAAAAAAGAAAGAGAGAGAGAGAAGAAGGAAAAAATAAATGAAAAGAGAGGGAGAGATGGAAAGTGACGGAAGGAAGAAGAAGATGGGGAAAAAAATAAAAAAATGAAGGTGTTGGGAGAGATGAGATATGGAGAAATTAAAAATTACAAAAGAAAGAAAAAGAAGGGTTGGTTTGGGCGCATCTTCAAATGCCCATGCATGCTCTCACATTTTTTTTATTAATATTTATTTAGAGTAACTATGACTAATTATATAGAGGGAAGGGAAAAGAGCCATGGTTAGTGAGAAAGATTCCATCCATATATTTTTATTAAATTACCATTGTAAATATTTTATTATGGGAAAAATTATCCTCTTATATTTTATTACATTATTACTGTTCTTGTGTCAGTTACAATAAAATTTATTATATTTAAATTATTAGATACAAATAATGGTGACTAATTTGGTTAAGAGAGTTGACCAATTGTCACCAAAATAAATTAATTACTTAAAAAAATGTGACTATTGCTTCCTTTTTTTGTAGTGCGAGTTGGTGCCAGCCATCATCAATTCATCTTTGCATGCCTTTCTCTACCACCGTAAGCAAAAGCCACCGAAAAAAGCCACGAAAAGCCATCCCATACTATTTTCACCAACTTCAACACAACTGAGGATGGAGGTAAAAATAAAAAAAAATTATGTATATGAATATGTAATATCTCACTGCTTGCGGTTCCTTAGTTTACAAATGCCTAGTGAATTGACATGACCCAAAAAAAAAAAAAAAACGCAATCTTCTCTGAAAGGCATAATGCTTAAAGTAAATGGTTGCCCAAAAATTGGGAAGGGATATATCTCAAGACTGTCTTTCTTTCACATGCCATGTCACGTCTCGGGATCGGCTCCGCCATAGCACGATATTGTCCACTTTGGGCCCCCCTCTCTGCCCTCAGGGTTTTGTTTATAAGAACTCACGACCAACTTCCCAGTGGGTCACTCATTCTGGGATTGCTCTTGCCTCAACTCGCTTAACTTCGAAGTTCCCTTGACTCCGAAGCCAATGAGCTCCCAAAAGGTCTCGTGCTAGATGGAGGCGGGCATGTACATATAAGGCACATCATCCCCTCTTCGTTGGTCGATATGGGATGTTACATGCCAGGATGCAACTGCAAAAACAAGAGATATCTGCTCTTAAAACTAACTCTGTAACTAACTCATTATATCTTAGAGCAAGTACGCTTTAATTTAACGTTGCATTAACCACTACAACATTGATGAATAATTCTATACAGGCCTGGGTTCTTTATATTCTTGTCATATGATTGTTTTTGTCTTATGTTATAAGTTTTTCATTACAAAATGCACACATGAAATCTGCTTCCCACTCATATAGTGGCTATACAGGTGTCTATTAGAGAGGTGGTATGAATGTGGTATGAAAAATGTGGTAAGCCTAGCATTTTCCATGTTATATGGTTGACAGTTTCGGTAGGCTAGCAGCCATTTGGTGTCATATGACTGATTACAAATGTTCAATTTCTTTTAGGTTGGTACGGGTGTAACAAATGCATTGATTAATGCACGAAAAGCTATCGATAAATCTTTTTCTGGTGAAGTAGAGGATGTTCCCATATTATCAACTAGTGTAGCCTATGGAGTTTATATGGCAGTTTCTAGCAATCTAAGGTACACAGGTTTTCTGCAGATTTAAGTAATCTATTTATTATTTACTCTAACCTTCATGAACTGTCAGCATAGACCATTAACAAAATTTTCAAGACTGACTGAAGAAACTTGGTATTTTAAAGAGTAACTATCATATCCATGGAGAATAGTATCTATCCAAAAAAACCCATTTGTGGCATTTCTGGATGGAACTGGGCCTTTCTAGTTATCGAGAAGAAACTCTTTAACCTCTCAAAATAGAACAGTTATTTATGTGAAAGGACACATGCTTACCATTATTCCAACAATGGATACAAGATGTGCTGCAGCAGAGTAAGGATCTGAAGAAGACACCTTGAAGAAGGAAATCTTTTGTTTACCATTATTTAGCTTTATGTACATAATTTTATGTTTTTTCGATTGAGGGAAAAAAGAGCCAATGCTATGATATATGTTGGCCATTAGAAAATTCTATATATACCGTATGGAAAATCCTTTTCAAGCAAGATAATTGATGTTGGTTGGATAGGGGGATTAAAGATACTGCTAAAATATGATATTTGGTTTTGAATATGTTAGGTTCTTATTTTCTTCTTCTCCATAAGGAGGTATATATAAGAGTTTACATGAGTGCTTTACAAGGAATTAGATCCAGTAAAGAATTAGGAAAGTATCTCCTAATTATACAATGATTTGACAACTATATAAAATAGGAAAGTAAATCCCTTAATTAATCAAGGAAATAAATCTCCTTGATTAATTAGGAGACTCACTTCAACACTCCTCCTCAAGTTGGTGCATATACGTCACAAATGTCCAACTTGGTAAGTGAGTCATGAAATACTCTGCCACAAACAGCTTTGGTTAATATATCTGCCAGTTGATCTTCTGATTTTATGAATGGTAGGCGGATGATCTTCTTCTCCATTT